ACACAAAAGACAAATAATAGAATGTTTTAAATGGGCAAAGTATTTGAATAGACATTTCTCCAAAGGAGAGATACACATGACCAATAATCACATGAAAAGATACTCAACATCTTTAGTCATCAGAGAAATGCAAATCTAAACCATAATGAGATGGCACTTCACACCCATTAGGAGGGCTAAATTAGAAAAGATTGACAATAGGAAATATTGGCAAGGATGCAGAGAAATTGCAACCCTCATGCATTAATCATGGGGATGACAAAATGGTGCAGCCACTTCAGAAGAGTTTGACATTTCCTCGATTGTTACACATAGAGTTAACAGGTGACCCAGAAATTGCGCTCCTAGGTATGTACCAAAGAGAACTGAAAGCGTATCTCTGCATAAAACTTTGTACACAAATGTTCGTAGCAGCACTATTCATAATACCTAAGGAATGGAAACCATCCAGATGTCTGTCAACTGATGAATGGATAACAAAAGGTCTATCCATACAAATATGCCCATGCCATGGAATATTCAGCCATAAAAAAAGCACTGATTCGTGCTATGACACGGATGAGCCTTGAAAGCATTAGGCTCAATGAAAGCAGCCAGATGCAAAACATCTTTTTGGGGGTGATGAAATGTTCTGGAATTAGAGAAGGGTAATTGCTGCACGATTCTGACTATACTGAAAACACTGAAGTGCATCCTTTTAAGGAGTAAATTTGATGGTATGTGAATTGTATCTCAATAAAGTTATTATTTTAAAAAGACAGGCTCTGTTGTTATCAAAGCCAACCTGATCACATTTTCTGTTACTGCAGTAACAGCATCCTGACTGTTGGGGGCGATGAGGAGAGATGCTCAGTAGACTTACAGTGTGAAGTTTAAGGTGAGGACTCTGTAAGTGGCTCCTTCAGTTACTGCCAGCGTGCTCATATGTGTTAAGTGTGTGATCATACTTGTATGCATCCTCTTGCATGCCAGTTGATGCTTATGTGCTTGTTTGCAGGTGTGTCTGTGTATGTCTCATGTGTGTTTTTGGTGTGCAGAAAGTATGCAGGGATGTTGATGAACGTACAGTGTGTGTGTGTGTGTGTGTGTGTGTGTGTGTGATGTGTCAGAGTGGAGCTACACACAAAGACCAGGTGGGGCCAGGCGTGGTGGCTCATGCCTGTAATCCCAACACTTTGGGAGGCCGAGGTGGGCAGATCACAAGGTCGGGAGATCAAGACCATCCTGGCCAGCATAGTGAAAGCCCGTCTCTACTAAAAAAAAATACAAAAAAAATAGCCAGGCGTGTGCCTGTAGTCCCAGCTAATCAGGAGGCTGACGCAGGAGACTTGCTTGAACCTGGGAGGCAGGGACTGCAGTGAGCCAAGATCACACCACTGCACTCCAGCTTGGGTGACAGAGTGAGACTCCATCTCAAAAAAAAAAAAACAAAAAACAAACAGGTGGGAAGTTCCTCTATGCACCATCTACACTGACCCTTCACCTAGTGGGTGCTCAAGTTTGTTGAGAGGCTAATAGAGACCTTAGGACCTTGCTGCACCAGGCACCTAGGTAGTTACGGAAAGGGCTGATGGGAGGCTAAACACAAATGCAGCCTGAGCTGAGGAGCAGGACTGGCTCAAGTCGGAGGTCTGCCTGGGGCAGTCAGGAGCCTCGAGGCCATCTATCCTCACCTTAATCAGATCGAGCTTGGAGAAGAGACTCATCCTCTTGGGCATGCCGCGGGCAGAGGGGCAGCACTGCTGGGCCATGTTGTTGATGGTCATTTGCATGTAGCTGAGCAGCTGATCCTGCAGGAAAGAGAAAGAGGAGGCGGCTCGGCCTCTCTCCCAGCATCCCCTGCCCCTGCCCCTGGCTCTCTCCGGCCAGAGAGTGTCCTGGACAGAGCTGGGACACTGGGAGCATCCTTCTGATCCTGGCCTGTATTTCTTTCCTGGGGGTCTTGGTTGAGTTCCTCCCCACCTCGGAGCCTGAGCGTCCTCCCCTGCAAAGAGGGAGGTTAAACTAACTCCTTTCAGAAGGGCCTCCTTGCTGGAGGCATCTGGGGTCCATGCCTGGTTAGAAGCAGAGGACTGGGAAGGAGCATGGAGTGGGGCCCTGGGCTTCAGACCTCCAGCGTCCTTGTCTGTTACAGCAGCTTAGAGAGAAAGACCTAGAAGGGCCTCTGTAGACTGTGACCCACCCAGCTCCCTAAGCCCCTCGGCTTGGCTGGAGGTCAGCAGCTGACAGCCCCCAGTCCTCTGTCTTCCAAACTCAAGTCCCTCGAGGCCCACCAGTCTGGGCCTGAGCAGGTCTCACACCCACCCCATGACCTCATCCTGTGCAGGGAGGGTGTGCCCAGCGCAGCCCCATGCCCCAGCCACGGTTCCAAGTGTCCTCCCACGGTCCCAAGTGTCCTCCCACGGTCCCTGAGTCCAGAAAAACACAGACCCCTGCCTCCATTTATGGTGAGGAACCGGGGTCCACGGGTGACCACACTCCCACACACTCCCAACGCCAGTAAGGGGCAGTGCGGGAATTCCTGGAATTTGTGGCCACGGACTTTGGCCATGACTTGTTCTTTCTGAGCCTCATTTTTCTCATTTTAAAATAAATGTGGGTAAAATTCACCAATATTTAGGAGCACCTACTCCAGGTCAAGCTCTGTGCTAAGCACTGCCTGGAATGATCAGAGAGACACCAGGGTTACTGAAGACAGGGCATAATAACCACTCACGTAAATGCCATTGTTTTCTTATTAACCACAAACATTATACAAGGACCAAGTGCTCGGCACAACACCAAGCTCTGGGACTGGGCCGGTGGATCCCGGCTCTTGGTAGAGCTCGGTCCTGAAATATCTGTGGCCTGTTTTCCCACGTGTAAAGCAACATCTGACCCCTCCAAGAGAGGCCCCTCGAAAGCAAGCTGTCACCAAGGAGAAGTAAGTGGTATGGGTCTATCTGTGTGTGTCTCTGTGTCTCAATATATGTCTCTGTGTGTGCCTGTGTGTGTGTGTCTGTGTATGTGTTTGCATGCCTGTGTGTGTGTCTATGTGTCGGGTTGTGTCTGTGCTTGCGTGTGTGTCTGTGTGCCTGGCTGTGTGCCTGGCTGTGTCTGTCTCTGTGCATTTGTGTATATTTGTCTAACCGTGTCTGTCTGTCTTTATGTTTGGTTGTGTCTGTGTTTCTATGTGTCTGGTTGTGTCTGTGTGTGTCTATGTGTCTGTTTATCTATGTGTTTGGCTGTGTATGTGTCTGTGTGTGTGTTTCTGGCTGTGTGTGTGTTTGCGTGTGTGTCTGTGTGCCTGGCTGTGTCTGTCTCTGTGCATTTGTGTATATTTGTCTAACCGTGTCTGTCTGTCTTTATGTTTGGTTGTGTCTGTGTGTCTATGTGTCTGGTTGTGTCTGTGTGTGTCTATGTGTCTGTTTATGTGTTTGGCTGTGTATGTGTCTGTGTGTGTGTGTCTGGCTGTGTGTGTGTTTGTGTGTCTGGTTGTGTCTGTGTGTATCTATGTGTCTGTTTATGTGTTTGGCTGTGTGTGTGTTTGTGTGTGTGTCTATGTGTCTGGTTGTGTCTGTGTGTGTCTATGTGTCTATGTGTTTGGCTGTGTATGTGTCTGTGTGTGTCTGGCTGTGTGTGTGTGTGTGTGTGTGTGGTCTGTGTGTGTTGGGAGTGATAATGACCACTCACTTAAATGCCATTGTTTTTAGATGGCATTTAAGTGAGTGGTCATTATCACTCCCAACACACACAGGTGGAGGCTATCGGCCTCCCCTACTCTGCCCCTAGCCCCACCCCTGGGGCTGAAAGACTGGACTCACGTTACAGCTGCTGCTGGTATGTGTGTGTATGTCAAAGTCAGTGTCTTTCTGGTAGGTGACGCCATGCTTCAGCTGCCACCACTGCTCCTGCTTGCGGCGACACTTCTTCTGCAGCTGACACAGCTGGATCTTGAGGCTCTGGGACAGAGGAAATGGATCATCTTGGCACAACAAACCCTCCAGGGCATGCGTCCTGGTCCAAGTCCCCAGGGTGGTCTGTGCAATGACAGGATAGGAAGAAGGAATACTTCTGGGTGGCTGGGGCCATTCAAGGCACGAGAGATGCAGAAAAGGGCATGTCCAGGCTGCTGGAGTTTACCTGAGCCCTAGTACCTGATGGTTTTATAAAGGGGGTTCCACTACACAAGCTCTCTTGCCTGCCACCGTGTCAGATGTGCCTCTGCTCCTCCTTCACCTTCCACCATGATTGTGTAGCCGCCCCAGCCATGTGGAACTGTGAGTCCATTAAACCTCTTTTCCTTTATTTTTTATTTTATTTTTATTTTTTGGAGACAGAGTCTCACTCTTTTTGTCCAGGCTGGAGTGCAGTGTCATGATCTTGGCTCAATGAGACCTCTGCCTCCTGGGTTCAAGTGATTCTCCTGTCTCAGCCTCCCAATTAGCTGGGATTATGGGCATGCACCACCAGGCCTGGCTAATTTTTGTATTTTTAGTAGCGACAGGGTTTCACCATGTTGGCCAGGCTGGTCTTAAACTACTGACCTCAAGTGATCTGCCTGCCTCAGCCTCCCAAAGTGCTGGGATTACAGGTGTGGGCCACTGTGCCCGGCCCTCTTTTTCTTTATAAATTGGCCAGTCTGAGGTATTTCTTTATTAGCAGCATGAGAAGGAACTAATACATGCCCCCAGCCAGGCCCTGTGGGATAGGAATTTGAAAGATACAGAACAGGCCAAGTGTATTTGTGCACACCTGTAATCCCAGCTACTCTGGAGGCAGAGGCAGGAGAATCACTTGAGGCTGGAAGGTGGAAGCTACAGTGAGCTGAGATCATGCCACTGCATTACAGCTTGGGTGACAGAGTGAAACCCTGTCTCAAAAAAAAAAAAGAAAGAAAAAGAAAAGAAAACAGGACATACCCCGTGGTATGTGGCCCTGCTTCTCTGAGGCTTACTTTCCTCCCCTTGAAAATGGGAGGAATAGCATGGCTGGACTTGCCTTTCCCTGGTTCCAGCCCTGGGAATAGCAGCACCTACCTGGAGGTGCTGGTGTGAGATTTAAGTGAGATAAAGCACATGATGTGCTTCCCGCAGTGCCCAGCCCATGGATGAATCCCATACTCCAAAAAAAAAAAAAAAAGGTACAAAGTGGTGCAGGCTTGCAGTGCTGCCACTAGGGGGCAGGTGCTCTCTCCAAACAGCAAGCAGCAGCCCTTTGCAGGGCACCAACCAGCAGGTCATCCTTCCTCTGGAATGCCCAAGTCCCCGGTCCCAGTAGCAGCAGGAATCTTCATGATGTCACACCTTCATCAGAGCAGGCTCTTTCACCTGGAGTGCTCACCCCTCCCAGCAGAAGTCCTATTTATTGTGAGATCACCACGAAGGAAGGGGAGGGGAAATGATGTCTCTGGCACTGACTTGGAGGCAGTTTGTGTGTCATGCCTTGCAAGGACCCTGGAAACTAGGGTGTGTTGCCCTCATTTGACAGATGCAGAAACTGAGGCTTAGAGAGGGTACAAACTAGTCACACAGCTAGTTGGTGGCTGAGCTGGGAGCTGAACCCGAGTCCATCTGCATCCAAGACACATGGCTTTTCTACCATGCAGAACAACTGTTAGGCACAAGCTGAGCCTCAGGCAGCAGAGGGGAAAGGAGGGGGATACAGAGGGCAGCTCAGGAGCCATACCCCACCCAGGGGCCCTCAGCATTGTGCCACTGCTCCCTACAGGCCTTCCCCAGGGGTGCACAAGAAAGGGGGCCCCACGCTCCCAGCTCCCTGGGCCATGGGGAATGGAACAGCAGCTGTTACCGGCACGAGAGCCCTGTGGTCCTCCTCTAGCGACTCCAGGCTCCGGCGGACGGCCTGGCTCATCTGGGAGAAGGCGTCGAGGCGCATCTGCATGTCCTGGCTGGCGGCAATGAGCTTTCCGTAGTGCTTCACCATGGCCTCCACCAGCCCCAACTCCGGCTCCTCCCATCCCGTGCAGCCTGCAGAGACAGCGCCTTGGAGATGGGTGGGCGCCCCTGCACTGCCATGCCAACAAGCTGGCCAGGAATTCTGGCTGGGGCGGCCAAGTTGAGAGGTGCCGGACAGTCCATGCCAGCCTGACCACAGCAGGATGGTCCTGAAGCTCTCCACCGCCCCCTGCCCCCACCACTTCAAGGGACTCCTCAACCCTGGAAAGTTCAGCCAGAGACTGAGACATGGACTCTGGATCGAGACCACCCACGAGGCCTCGAGGAGTCGTTGCTGCTTGGGTGAGCCTGAGAAGTGGACAGGAATTGTTCCTGTCCCTAGAGAGCAAACGCCAAGTCCCGGCGGTTCTGCATTTTGGATGGGTTGAACAGGGCAGAACTGCTGAATTAGGAAGGTCACAAACCACAAGCCTCGCTGGGTCCTGGGGCTGCCACAAGCCCATGCTTCCCCATGAGAGGTCACCTCCTCCATGAAGCTTTCCCTGACCTCCAGGGCAGAGGTTTTGGAGTTTCTGCAGCTCCTTTCATTCTAGCACGCACTTAGTACAGTGGCTATGAAGTCAGACGGACCAGAGACGAGCCCAGCGCCACCACGTCCTGACCAGGCGACCTGGGCAAGTTCCTTACCCTCTCTGAGCCTGAGTAACACAGACCTGCAAAGCTCATAGGAGGGGTAAAAAGATTTACTAAAAAGCTTAGCATAGCGCAGATGTTTAGTAAATGGTAATAATTATTTTATTATTATTGATGCTGTTGAAATAATCGTGATAACTATGACTCCCCTTTCTCCTTTTTTTTTTTTTTTTTTTTTTTTTTTTTTGAGAGAGAGTTTCACTGTTGTTGCCCAGGCTGGAGTGCAATGACACGATCTTGGCTCACCACAACTCACCACAACCTCCGCCTCCTAGGTTCAAGCGATTTTCCTGCCTCAACCTCCTAGGTAGCTGGGATTACAGGCACGTGCCACCACACCCGGCTAATTTTGTATTTTTAGTAGAGGTGGGGTTTCTCTATGTTGGTCAGGCTGATCTCGAACTCCTGACCTCAAGTGATCCGCCCACCTCGGCCTCCCAAAGTGCTGGGATTACAGGTGTGAGCCACTGCGCCCCGCCTCCCCTTCCCTTTTCTAATGAGTTTCCAGTACTCATAAAACAACACACAAAAACTCATCTCGGATGTCCCTGTACTCTTAGTTAATAATAGCTACAGCGAAACAAAAACACAAAACTAAAGACAAGCAAAATAATAATAATAATGGCCAGTGTTGACCAGGTGCTAGCTAAATGCTGGGCCCTGTGCTATGCTAAGGATGACCTCCTCTAGTCCACATACAATTGCTGTTCCCATTGCACAGATAAGAAAGTCAAGGCCTGGAGAACTTGCCGGAGGCCACACTGTCAGTGACAGTGGAGCCGGGGTTGGGACCAAGCAGTGTAACTCGGCTGCCTGTGCCCTTCTTCCCCACCGTGGGGTTGACCTTTGTGGATTCCCATTCCATAGATGAGCAGCTCGGGGCTCCATGAGGCCACACGCCAGCCACACGCCGGCCATAAACCGCATCTCAGTCCAGCAGCCAGGAGGCAGAAAGCTGTGTACATACCCTCGGGGATTTTCTCAAGGACCTCAATCAGATAGTCTTCAAAAAACTTGTGCTTCTCGACCTCCCTCTTGAGCTTCTTCTGCCTGTAGAGCCAGATGCAGGAACATGGGCTGGAGGCTCCCAGGTATCATAGGACCCCCACGAACGAACCCGGACACCGTCTGTGATCTCCTGCTTGAACCTACACTGGGCCAGCCACGTATCATGTTATCTGCTGGCCATGGACTTAGGAGTCTCTCCACCTTCATTTCACTGCTGAGCAAACTGAGCCATAAACAGCTCAAATAAATGCCCATGGCAGCATCTCCCAGGCAGCAAAGAAGGCACCGGCGAGAGTGAAGGCCGAGTCTTTCTGGCCAGAGTCTACGGTGCCTCCCCTGGAGGCTGTGCAGGTGTCTCCCATCTCAGGAGATAGGCCAGCCCCTCCTAGCTGGTGACGTGGGGGCCAGGTGCTTCACCTCTCTGTGCCTGGGGTGCCATCTACAGCAGGGGTGATGTGAGCTGCTGGCCAGGGTCATGCGTGAGGCACCCAGTGCCTTGGGAGCCCTCCATCAGAGGCGAGGGGAGACGGCCGTGTGCCGTCCGTACATGGCCGTGCCTGGCCATACATGACTCTTTCAGGAATCCCTAAGCAAGTCTCCAGCTGGTCACCTGCTCTGGACCCAGCCAAGGTCAGCAGTTAAGTGCGGAGACCAGAGCGGGCGTGGCCTGGCCAGCTGGCCGAGCTCTCGAGCCATCCTCTGATTGTGCAGTGGGGCTGTGCCGGGGGTCTCTGAGTGGCCCAGGGGAAGCCACTCTGCCTCTCTGGGCCCCCCTCTCTCATCCATATGGTTCTGAAAAGCATAGGACAACATCATCCCCTCCCACAGAAACCACATGGCACCCTGTGAGCCATGACGGCGCTTACCCCAATTGGGATCAGGAAGCTCTTCAAATCTGTTGGAAGAGTTGGCCCTTTTCTTCATAAAACTTTGCACAGACACATTCTTTTGCATCTAATTCAGGCTTCTATGGGCAGCCTGAAATGTTGTCTCTCCTACCTCCCATCCCCGTGGGATGTGGACCCAGGGTCCCCTCTGAGAGTCAAGGCGGAAACCTCGTAGACTGACTTAGAGGGGCCGACAGGTGCGGCCGATGGTCACCCACGGTCCTCCTTCCTGATGTAGAGGCTCAGCCTGCAGAGGGCCCAGGTCTGGCCCAAGATCTGAGGCTAATGGGCAGTAGCCACGCCTCTCTCTCCCATCACTGGTGTGACCCAGCCCCCGCCCACCCATTTGCTTCCAGGCCACACTGCCCTCCTCATCCACCCCTGTCCTGGCCTCCTCGGGGCATGTTTGCTCAGTCCAGCCACTTAGCCCACTGGGGAGGCGCTGGGGCTGGGGCTGGGGCTGGGACAACGCGTACTTAGCCTGGAGCTGGTGGAGTTCCTGCCTCAGCACTTGAACGTCCCCTTCTTTGTCACCAGGATTGCTTGGGCCAGCTCTCTGGCCTGTGTCCATGACCACCCCAAGCCACGTAGAGGGGCAGGAGCCACATGAGCCAGGCAGGAGGAAGACAGACTGAAATGGGACAGTCACGGCTGCAGCTTCCTCTTCGGATCCTCGGAAGCCGGGGCTCACATCCCTACCTCACAGAAAAGGAAATGGAGGCTCAGAGAGGGGCTGTGACCGGCTGGAGGTCAGCCGGCAGAACTGGATGGGGACCCAAGGCTCATTAAGTCCACAGCCCAAGGTCTTTGGGCTGCATGCCCAGCTCCGGAGAGGTTAAAGGTGCCATTCTGCAGGGGCCTTGTTTTCCTTTCAGCCCTATAACTGGCACAGCCCCATCACCCCCAAGTCTTCAGTTCCTGGCCACCTAGATGCCTGGGAACTTTCAACAAGTGCTGGCTTCCAACAAATTCTGGAAGGAGTCATAGGGTCAGAGCCAGAGCTGGTTCAGAAAGGAGCCTGCCTAGGAGGGAGGCAGCTTCATCATCATCTCTGCCCGCCCACCTGGCATCCATGCATTTATTCACTTAACCAACATCACATGCTTTGAGCTCATATAGTGCTTACAGAGCTACAGAGGAGACTGAGCAGAGACGCTTTGAACAAGCTCATGGTCAAGCTAGGAAGATGGTCTAGTTGCAAGTAGCTTCAACACAGCCTTGCAAACAGTTCCTGGGCCACTCACCCAAGGCTGGCCTGCAAGCATAACTCTCATTGGTCAACTGCTGAGCCAGCCCAGTGCATTGGGGAGGGAAGGTGAGGGGCTACAAGGTCAGCCTTTCTAACCCCAAGCATCAAACATGGGTAGACAGGCACTGGGGGAGGAAGGGGCGTAGCTGACTCACCCTCACCTCCAGGAGCACAAAGCCACAGCCAGGCTGTGACATCACAATGCTGGCTTCTGTCCTCATCATGTGTCCATTGCAGGATCCACCTGTGGGTGGAGGGCTGGATTCTCCATGATCCTAAACCCTCCCACCCCCACCTCCCAGCTCCATTCCCAAGAAGAAGGGGAGAAAGGGCATTGGCAACCTCCTGGGAGACCTGGGCTCTTTTTGTCCTTTTTATCAAGGCTGGTCTGCTTTACAGGCTGCCCACATCCCATTGGCCTGTCCTGGGACTCTCCCTCGACCCCATCCCCCACCTGATTTTGGGACTGCAGCTCAGGCATTTCCCCTTCACTCCCTGAAGGCTCAGGCCCATCCCTGGCTCAGGACTAGGCCTGGCTCAGTGCAAGGGATGGGAGCAAGCTGAAGGACCCACGTCTGGGAGCCGCCCCTGCCCACACCTTGGCCTTGAACCTCCTGTTGGAGCTACTGGACCTGTGCCACCGGGAAGGTGGGGTGGGGAGGGCTGGGCCTCATGCCCATCCTGCCACCCCACCCGCACCTTATGCACCACCCTGCTGGCTGGCCTGGCCTTCCCCCTCGAAGGCTTCCATTGGCTCAGAGCTGGGCCACCTGAGATGGCTCCTGGTAAGCCACAGCTGAGTGTGGGCTCCACTGGGAGGAAGGTCCCCATCGAGAGTGAAGGAGGCAGGAGCCAGGAAAGGGCCTGAACTGGGGCAGGGGCCGGGAATGAGGGAAGGGCTGGGGCCTACTGAGGGGCAGAGCAAGGGCTAGGGGTTCAGGTCTGTGGCTAGAGAGCAAAGCTGGGGCAAGATCTGGATCAAAGCCTGGGGCTGGGGCAGGGTGGGGCTGGGCTGGGGGCAGGGGCAGGGGTTTGAGCTCACCCCACTTTTGACCCCTCACCAGCAGGCAGTGGGATCAGCCTCTGTCAGCCCAGGAGTCCCTGACTGGTGCCCAGGACTGCCTTTCCATGGTCCTAGAGCCCTGGCTCGTGTGCTGAGCACCAGCTGAGAATGAAGATGCAGGGTCCTGCCTTGGGCCTTGGGTTCAGACTCAGGAGGGAGGTGGATGCATGTGTGGGGGTGTGGGGGGGTGTGAGGGGCGTGGGGGGTGTGGGGGGCATGGACACAGAGGGAGAGGAGCTCAGGGGCTGGGGCTGCTCAGAGAAGGGGTCAGCCCAGTCTGAGGAGCGGTGGGGGAGTCCCCCAGAGTTGGCAGTGTCGGAGGTGTTTCACGAGGGTGAGAATGAGAGAAGGTGGGAAGGGCCTTCTGGCAGAAGGAACAGCAGGGGTAAAGGTTCGGAGGTGCTGAATAGCTTACACAGCCTGTGTGAGCCATAGGCAGAGCCTTCAAAGTAGAAGTGGGCAATCAGAGTGGTTTGGACCATGGCTGGCGAAGCTGCTGGCAGGAGCCAAAGGGTATCTATCAGTCAGCAGCAGAGACTGCCGGGCTACTCTGGGCAGGGGGGGATGCATGGGAGGCTGGAGGGAGGCGTGGAATCAGAAGAAAAGCGGAAAATGCAGGCTCAGAGAGGACAGGGGCCCAGGGCAGCCCTGGAGATCCATGAGCAGGAATCAGGGAGGTGCTCCCAGAAAGAATTCCTACCCCGCAACCCTTTTCATCCTCCTCTCCATTCTCAAGAATCAGAGAGGGCACCCAATTGGCTGAGCCTGGGCCATGTGCCCACCCCTTGGCTTGACTGACAGTCATATGCTAAGAGCCCGCAGTGGGGCCCGGAAGTTTCCCAGGGCAAACCCTGTGGCTGTCTCCGGGGAATCAGGATAGCTGAGCAGCAGAACCCACAGATGCTCCTCCGCTGAGGCTCAGGGACAACTGGGCTGCATCCCCAGCTCTGGAGAGGTTGAGGGTGCCATTCTGTAGAGGCCTTGTTTTCCTCGCAGCCCCATAACTGATAGAGCCCCATCACCCTGTCTTCAGTTTCCAGCCACCAAGATGCCTGGGAACTTTCTTTTTTTTTTTTTTCACTAAGAGGAAAGCTTTGAAGAGGAAACTTTTTTCTTTTTTATTTATTTATTTATTTATTTTCTTTCTTCTTTTTTTTTAGAGGAAGAAAGAGAGAAAGAAAGAAAGAATAAAAAAAAAGAGAAAAAAAAAGAAGAATGAATGAAGGAGAGGAAGAAAGAAGAAGAGGGAGAGCGAACAGGGGAGTTGCTCTATTGCCCGGGCTAGAATGCAGTCTAAAAATGGGTATGCCCGTAATTGTGTTTAATAATAGAGACATGAAAAAAAAAATGAGGGAAGAAAATAACTAACAAGCAGCCAACCAATATTTCATTTAAACCTGTAAATAGGTATGATGTGGTACTGATAAGAGTGTGTATTTTGTGTATTTAAAGTGGAGAGTTCTATAAATATTAATTAAGTCTATTTGTTCTGGATCTGAGTTCAAGTCCTGGATATCGTTGTTAATTTTCTGTCTCATTGATCTGTCTAATATTGGTGTTGAAGTCTCCCACTGTTATTGTGTGGGAGTCTAAGTCTTTTTATAAGTCTTATATATCTGGGTATTCCTGTATTGGGTGCGTATATATTTAGGATCTTTAGCTCTTCTTGTTACATTGATCCTTTTATCTTTATGTAATATCCTTCTTTGCTTCTTTTGATCTTTGTTGCTTTGAAATCTATTTTATCAGCAAAAATTGCAACTCCTGCTTTCTATTTATTTATTTTAGCTCTCCATTTGGTTGGTAAATTTTTCTCCATCCCTTTGTTTTGAGTCTTTGTGTATCCTTGCATGTGAGATGTATCTGGATGTAGCATACCAATGGGTCTTGGCTTTTTTTCCTGTCTGTGTCTTTGGATTGGGGGATTTAGTCGATTTAAATTTAGAATTAATAACAGTATATGTGAGTTTCATACTGCCATTTAATGTTAGCTGGCTGTTTTGCCCGTTAGTTGATGCAAGTTCTTAATTATGTTGATGTTCTTTATTTTTTGACATGTTTTTTAGAAAGGCTGATACTGGTTGTTCCTTTCTATTTGTAGTGGTTCTTTCAGAAGCTCTTGTAAAGCAGGCTTGGTGGTGATGAAATCTCTGAGTGCTTGCTTGTTCACAAAAGATTTTATTTTTCCTTCGCTTATGAAGCTTAGTTTGGCTGGATGTAAAATTCTGGGTTGAAAGTTCTTTTCTTTAAGGAGTTGAATATTGGCCCCCACTCTCTTCTGGCTTGTAGGGTTTCTGCTGAGAGATCTGCTGTGAGTCTGATGGGCTTCCCTTTATGGGTAACCTGACCTTTCTCTCTGGCTGCCCTCAGTATTTTCTCTTTCATTTCAACCCTGGTGAATCTGGTGATTATGTGCGTTGAGGTTGGTCTTCTTGAGGAATATCTTTGTGGTATTCTCTGTATCACCTGGAGTTGAATATTGTCCTGCCTTGCTAGGTTGGGAAAGTTTTCCTGAATAATATCCTGAAGCGTATTTTCCAGCTTGGATTGATTCTCTTTGTCACATTCAGGTACACCTATCAAACGTAGATTAGGTCTTCTCACATAGTCCCATATTTCTTGGAGACTTTGCTCGTTCTTTTTTATCCTTTTTTCTCTAATCTCGTCTTTTTGTTTTATTTCATTAAGTTAGTCTTAGACCTCTGATATCTTTTCTTCTGCTTGATCAATTCGGCTGTTAAAACTTGTGCATAGTTCGCAAAGTTCTCGTGCTGTGATTTTCAGCTCCATTAATTCCCTTATATTCCTCTCTAAATTGTGTGTTATTGTTAACATTTCATCAAACCTTTTTTCAAAGTTCTTAGTTTCTTTGCATTGGGTTAGAACAAGTTCTTTTAATTCCCAGAAGTTTCTTATTATCCACGTTTTAAAGTCGGCTTCTGCTAATGGAACACAGTCTTTCTCCATCAGGCCTTGTTCCGTTGCTGATGAGGAACTGTGATCCCCGGTAGGAGAGGCGTTCTGATTTTGGGTATTCTCAGCCTTTTTAGGCTGGTTTCTTCCCTTCGTTATAGATTTATCCATCTGTGGTCTTTACAATTACCGTCTTTATAGTTGGGTTTCTGAATGGACGTCCAACTTGTTGATTCCTGGCGCTAAAATCTGAGCAACCCACTGGGCTGGCCAAAACAGCGGCGTTAAGATTGATGGTGCTTTTCTGACTCTGCACCGAGAACCGCAGCACCAAGGCAGCGGCAAAACCGCCTCGCCGGCCTCAAGAGTCGCGCTGGTGACCCGTGGGGCTCCTCCGCTGGGAATCTCCTGGTGCGTGAGCAACAAAAATTGATCTGAAAGTGTGGTGTCTTCTCGTTCTCTGCGCTTTCAGTGGGAGCTGCAATCCCGAGCTGCTAGTGATCAGCCATCTTGATCTCTCTCCGGGAACTTTCAACAAGTGCTGGATTTCAATAAATTCTGGAAGGAGTCATAGGGTCAGAGCTGGAGCTGGTTCAGACAGCAGCCTGCTTAGGGAGGAGGCAGCTTCATCATCATCTCTGCCCACCCAGACATGGTCAGAGCATTTCTGGGCATGCTCTCTGGCTCAGAGTGGGGGTGAGGAGGGCGGCCTGGCAGTGGGAGGGACTCATGTTTGTGAATCCATGCAGGGGGTCATTTCATCTTCATGACACACCCACGACGTCAAAACTGTTATTTCATGGAGGGCAAAACTGAGGCCCAGAGAGGTTAAGTAACTTGCCCAAAGTCTCACTGTTAGAAAATAGTTTAGATATTAATCCAGGAAGCCAAAGATCCAGAACCATCTGGGAGGCTGAGTTGTTAGGACCTTGAAACTGACTGATGGGGGTCCCACAGGCTGTGATATGGAACGGGAGGCTGTTCTTGGGGAAGAGTTCGTTAGCACCTCTGGGTTTGGGACCTTCATCTGGGACAGGCAGACCACAGGCCCTCCTCTGGCCAGAAGCGGATGCTTCTCATCGCCTCCCATGCTCAAAAATTCCAGGACTTTACTTCCTGGAAGTTCAAGGCTCTAAACTGCTTGACTCCATATAGCCACAGGTAAGGGAGGG